CCGGTAAACAGCCGCCGTCCTCCCCTCTCCGACAGCCTGTCTCGTTAGGCCGGGCCGGGAAAGCTGAGCAGAGACGCGTTGTTGCTTGTGTTGTGGAGCCGTGGCTGATGCCGTTCAGCTCTCCGGCCTTCTGGCTCAAAGACTGTTAGAAGCAGCAGCCAGATGTTTTGCAGTTCTCCGTGCTCCCTGCCACGCGTCCTCTTCGTCTGCTGCTGGGGGCTTGGTTGTTCCTCACTGCGCAAACCAGGGAGCTGGCTTTTTTCAAGTGCCTTGTTCAGCTGACAGCTTGTCGTGGCCCTCTACGCATTAAAACACCGTAACAACAATGACTAGGAAATGCAGTCTTTTGGTTTGAAGTGTAGAAAATGGACGTGTGAGAGAGGGTGCTGTGAGGTACAAAGATCATTCTGAAACATTGAGCTAAGTCATCGTTGTGATTAACTGCAGAGGTAGAGAGAGACCCCGAGGCTGCTTGGGGCACAGGCTGTGCTATCAGCAGAGGATGGAAGAGCTTTTAGGATAACTCCATGTCCCTTATCCCAAAAGAGTTCTGTGTTCTCTCTTGGAAGAGAGTGCCTCCCTTCCTCACCCTAACAGCCCCCGGTAGGGTGATGGGGTCAAGGCTATCATCCTTGCGGAAAACTGGGGAGAATGAGAACCCCTGTCGAGGAATTGCATGCCAGCAAGGATAACCGGCTGCTGGTTCCTGAAATGAACGGTAGTCAAAGAATGGGAGGTGTAGAGGCCCGGAAATGCGTGGCCATAATCTGCTGCCTCTTGAGGTGCGATGGTGACCTGGTGCAATGAAGAGCAAAGCAATTTTTCCTGTAGGAATTAACGTAATGAGAGGGTGGAGGGGTTGGGCATAGGGACTTCAGAAACGCACCTTAAATACACAGGGACAGGGTGCGTGACGTGCAAGATGGAGGGGCAGGAGCAGCATCAGAATCATCAACTGGAGAAGATGCTGGCTGCTGTTGGAGGCTGGCCCTTCAGAGCAGGTCACCCTTCCAGAAGATCTCAGCCTCCCCGTCTCGGACTGTAAATCTGCCAGCGTGGGTCTTCTCGCTGCCTCTTTCTGGGTATTTACATCTCATTGCCGTATTCATCCAGCAGTGTGCCCAGGTGGCCAAGAAGGCCAATGGCATCCTGGCCTGTATCAAAAATAGTGTGACCAGCAGGGCAGAAAAGTGATCGTGCCCCTGTACTCGGTGCTGGTGAGGCCGCACCTCGAATACTGTGTTCAGTTTTGGGCCCCTCACTACAAGAGAGATGTTGCGTTGCTGGAACATGTCCAGAGGAGAGCAACCAAGCTGGTGAGGGGTCTGGAGCACAAGTCATACCAGGAGCGGCTGAGGGAACTGGGGTTGTTTAGTCTGGAGAAGAGGAGGCTGGGGGGGGCCCTGATCGCCCTCTACAGGATGAGGTGCTTAGGGCCAGGGTTTAGTGGTGGGATGGCAGGGTTAAGTTAAAGGTTGGACTCGATCTCAAAGGTCTTTTCTAACCAAAGCGATTCTATGATTCTATGATTCCTCAAATTAGTTAAGGTCGATTGCATCGGGTGAGTAGGAATGTGAGAAAACGGGGGACCGGCAGTGGTTAGAGGAGCACAGCATGGGGCAGCTACGCAGCTCCTAAACGATGCGCCGAGGAGCGACAGATAGCAGGGTGCTGCTGTGTTCCCAGTGCTTCCACGCACGGAAGGAAGGGGACGATGCTGTGATCACGCTGCACGACAGAGCTCGCGTTTCACGAGGCTGCAGGCAAACACCCAGCTGCCAGGGCGTGAACGGAGGTGGAAAAATAAGTGATATGGTTATGCAAAATGAAAAGCATTTCATCTTGAAAGCCAAGCTGCCATATGCCTGTCCAGATCTTCTGTCTGGGAACCCAGAGAACCACAGGCACAGGTGAAGATTGGGCTGAAGGAGCCCAAAGGAGGGTTCGTGTCGGGGCCCCTTGGGCAGCGCGTGAAGGCGAGGGCTGGCTGTGCCTTGGGCCCGTTAGCAGCCATGCTCCTGCGCCGGCGTCTCCGCATTTGGGCTGGGGTTACCTACACCAGCTCTGCTTGCCCACAGCGTACACAGCACCTTACTCTGAAAGGCTTTCACTGGCTCCATTTTTGCTGTCGGACTGCTAAATAGAGAGTGATCATAGAATCCTGGAATGGTTTGGGTTGGCAAAGCCCTTTGAGCTCCCCCAGCCCAACCGTTCCCCTACCCCTGCCATCCCACCCCCAAACCCTGGCCCTCAGCACTGCCTCTGCCCGGCTGTTAAATCCCCCCAGGGCTGGGGACTCGACCCCTTCCCTGGGCAGCCCCTTCCAGGGCTTGTTATGATTTTTCTTGGCCGATGTCTCAAGTTCCAGTCTCGCCCTAACGTTATCCTCATTGCTGGGATGTTGCTGGAGACTTAGAGTCACGGAATGGGTTGGGTGGGAAGGGACCTTTAAAGATCCCTGAGCAGGGACATCTTCAACGGGATCAGACCTGCTCTGGTTATTCAGACCATTTTACGTTTCCCAGGCTGTTTCTACTTCTTTTCATAGAATCATAGAATCACAGAATGGTTTGGGTGGGAAGGGACCCCTAGAGGTCACCCAGCCCAACCCCCCTGCAGGAGCAGGGACACCTTGAACCACATCAGGTTGCTCACAGCCCCGGCCAACCTGGCCTGGAATGTTCCCACCTCACATTAACGCACGCGTCGGGATTGCTGCGGGAGGGATCGCGTGTCCCAAGGCTGGATCCAGCCCTCGAGCCATAGGCCCTCCTCTTCCCTCGCTCTCCTCTCAGCTCCCAGGCAGGATTTCTCACCTTTGCCCACTTGTTAAATGCCAGAAACCAGGCTGAATTCTTCATCGCGATCAGGGGACTTCTGAGACCGTTCCCTTTGGAGCGTGTGGCAGACCAGCTATTCCCTTCAGGCCCTTAGTGCTGTTAGCCAGTGCAGAAGATAACGCCTAATTAGTGTGGATGGTTTAACTTCCCTCAACCTCAGTTGTTCTGTGCATTTGGAGGGAAAGCAAGAAGCAGAGCCATGAAGAATTACTGCCTCCATCCCCCTTGTGTTTATATTCAGTACTAATATTGATTCCCTGTGTTCCAGCTTTGTTTCTTAATAAGCCACCCACAAGGGCGCAGGCTTACAGCAGAGTTTCCTCGCCAGATAAATACGACGGCAG